CAAGCAAATCGTGCCTGCTTAATTGACTTAATTAACAGACTTAAATCCCTAGGATCTTAGGTTTAGTGGGGGATACAGGATCCTTTAGTGTGCGGGAGTAGTGAATATAGTATGAGGCAGCTCGGCTTTAAGGGACTTTAGAGTCGTGATAGTTGCCTAACTAGGCTTAGCGCCATATATCTGAAATTCCTCAACCCGCCCACCAACTTACCTGCCTCTACCACGTATACAAAGGCTGGCTAGACGACTGCCACCTTGGCTTTCAACGCTTGTGGGCAGAGTTTAAAGACGCCGCCTCTCCCGTCAGTACTCCAGAGCCTCCGCCGAAGCATGTAAATTTTCATCATCCTTTCTAGAAAGCTGTACTCTTCTAGGCGAAATGAGTAGGCTTACTCATCTTAAGGTCCAGATTCGGGGATTTACTCTGCGTTCATCTAGCCTCCCAGGGTACTTTGCCCTTGTCCTTAAACCACTCACTTCCATCCACGCCCCTAACTTCGAGGTGGATCTGCAATACCCTGTCCCGGACTCAGCCGCGAAGATGTTAGGTGAAGTACCGTTTCAGATCATTATTGGACAGCAACGCTGCCCTCCCGAACAAGAAATGCCTGGGAAAGCATATATTGCAGGTAGCTATCGTAAGTATGCCTAGGGATTAGCTAGTGGGGTATCAGAACTAAATGATAAAGGCAATTTTGGCCCCCCCGGCACGAACGCTCCTACTTCGAAGTGGAAACAGCGCCTGAGAATTGGGCAAAATCGGCGGCGCTAGCCTGTATGAAAGCTAGGGTAGTAACTAGAGAAAATTGACTAGTTTCCGCTATAATTCATTCTGCGTCGTTTCAGTTTCTTACAGCCTGGTACTCATTCCTGTTTCACTCGTCCTTACCGGTGCTCCCATTGATCTGATTCTTCTTACTTAATGGTTACCTTCACCGCACCTTCCTCTCTTGGAAGAGAGGGAGCCTACACTAGGGAAACCTTAAGTCTGGGGTACAATCCTCTTGTATGAACTTTCTCCTAGCTCTGCAGCCTCGACCCTAGCCTTAAATTTTGAGATACTCGACTCTTGTTGCTGGACAAATAATTCATCATGCCAGCGAGAATTTATACAATTTCCTGGCTAAAGAGCCTTACTTTAGTGATGCAATGTGTGGTTGAAGTTATAGTGTTGTATTGACTTGAGGCGCGACAGAATGATCGCACATGTCCTAGGTTTCCTTCCAGGGTTCCCAACCGTACGTACTACGAGTCGTAGTATACGACCCGTAATAGTCACGTGAGCCGTTGAAACGTAGGAGAGATATGAGTTGTAACGTATGACTAGAGGAGCGCCTATTACAGACTGTAGTACGTCTTAAAAAGGCAACTTTTCCTACTAAAATAGGACCTAATTAGACACATGTAGAATTATGTTAAAAGTGTGTTTAAAGTTATATTTTTAAAGTAATAATTAAGTAAAAACTTTAAAGTTTATAAAATATTAGCGCTTATAGTAAAAGCTAAAAGTAAAGTGTGCTATTTTATATAAATAGTTAGCTTTTTAGCTTATAAATTATTATTAATTTATTTACATCTATTATTCTACTTACTATAAGCTAAATGTTCTAATTTCTTTAGTGCAGTTGTCAGATTGAAGCACTGTTTCTGGGCTTCCTGAGATGAATGATGGGTTTGGATGTGATGTATGGATGATTGATTGATTGTATTGATTGTGTTT